TATATATATATATATACAGATTTGAAAATAATTTTGTTGAACCATCAAAATAATTATGTAGAGCGCACAAACTTGTTGCTAGACTATCAAAACTTTTTGCAATATTACTTATCATAAAATTCCTGTACGTACTGTAATTATAGGTGACTTGAGACAGTGTAGGTAATTTGGGACAGCATGTATTTTTGTTAAATTTAATCAAGTTTAAATTTTAAACTTTCTTTAATGACTCATGGATCGATTCCATGATTAAATTTAACAAACATATAATACATGTTGTCCCAAATTATCTATCCCAAATTACACTATCCCAAGTCACCTACATTTAGGATAATTGATGGTCCAACAAAATTATTTTCAGATCTGTATCTAACTAAATTTTTAAAAACTTTAGCAAAATCGTTCTTTCCGTGTAATTGTAAAGAAACTTGCTCGAACTGGTAACTAAAATTCACGCATAAAATATTACAGCGGCAAGTCTTGCTTTGACCAAATAAGATGATTATTTGTGTAGAAAACTTTCCGTTCGATAGCTAAACTTCTGTATATTATTATCTTCATTCTCTTTTAATATATATATATATATATGTGTGTGTGTGTGTGTGTGTGTGTGTGTGTGTGTGTTAAAATAATAGAAATGTTTAATAATTTATGTAATAAATTATATGTTTGCAGTAATGTCCACTCATTCGCAATAATGATGTTAAATTGATGAAATATTAAAAAAAATATTTGCCGCCTTTGAAGACATCTTCTAAGTTTACCTCACAACAAAGCTTTTAAAATGGTTGACTTACCATCTATTTCGGACAGACGGTACACGCTTATAAATTTGCACGTATATATACATATAATAGATACATGTATGCATACTCACCGCCAGCTTGAGAAGACGCTCGGAGGCCTTGGCTACGTCCATATTCTGCAACGCAAACGAGAGAGGTACGAGATTATTAATGTAGAAGGTAAATACGTGGGAAACATGCGGAGAAGGGGTGCGTTAAGAGAAAGAGGAAGCAGGAATGAGGCAGATATGCCCTAAAGCTGAACGCAAAACAAATGCGAGTTAGGAGGATAGGTGTGAGAGGGCGAAACGTGCTACCAACTACAAAATGTAACTTTCTAATTGGATTTAAGATCGTATATACGATATGCTCTAAGCTCGTCGATATACTCGAAGCTGAATTACTTCACATATCGCATTTAGAATTACACAATTCAAAATTTGCAAAAAAACGTCATAATCGAGCGTGATGTAAATTTTGAGTTGTGCGTGACAGCTAAAATCAAATCAATGAATCGTCAATTCTTCTGAATGGAAAGGCTGCGATATTTATACGTATATCTCTGTACAACATGTTACGCTCTGTTGCAACACAATTAAAGGTTTACTTACGGATGAACGCCCACGCGAAATTAGATTAACGTCACTATCGAGGAAGCAAACCGCAAAATTTAATCCGCGTGTCGAAATGCGGTTATATGATATCGATACTCCGTTATTATTTGAGGAATATTGTTTTATACAGCATTAATATCTTCGACAACTACATCATTCAACAATAATGACGCGATTAAAATGAAGAGAGTTAGATTATTGAATAAAATATATATTAATCAATCTTTGTAAAGAATTAATTCTTTGTAAGAATTAAATAAAAAGTAATGCATTAAGCATTACTCGTAACTGGATTAGGATATTTTAATAAATAAAACACAGAAGTAATCCTTTAATTATCTGTACATATTTCTCAACATAGTCTTCAGATATTGAATATATTTCTACCAACGGTGAACAAGTTTTGAACACGCAAGAAATCAAGAGATTGAATCTTATCATACTACATTTTAGAAATTAGAGATTATTTAGAAATTTGTGTTTTATTTATTAAAATATTCCAATTTAGCTACAAATATAGAAGCATTACTTTCCATTAAATTATTGTAACTCGATAATTCAATCTTTATATTTTAGATGTTTAATCTGGTTAATTGGATATTTTTAATTAAATCTCAAAAAATTAGTCCTTGCTCTTCGTGATATCCTAAATTATCATTTTAAATCGTTTCGCAATTCAATTGCATTAACTTCTAAAATTGGAATTATATACGTTCGCTATCTGTGACATAGTTGTTTATATATTTTTATTATTATTTTAAAAAGAATCAATTAGTAATAAAAAATTCATCAGATTTATTTAGGTAATACGTAAACGATAAATAATAATATCCGTCCATCCTTAATGTTATTGACATCCAAATTGGGATAACATATATTTATCAAAAACAGAATTTCATGTATCGAACATAATTAAATTTAATATGCGAATCCATTGAATAGTAGAATTAATCAACAAAGTTTAATGGAGATTCAGATGTTGTTAATGCACTTATAATATATTATTGAATAAATGAATTGAATTTTTAATTAGATTTTTAATAATAATTCCATATCAGGCAAAGACGTCCGAATACTTCCTTTCTTCGATATAGATTTACACTCGGTCTATGGCGAATAAGGAGCTTTCCAATTCCGATGGAATTGATATTTCGTACACGGCGTTAATTGAACACAAGGAAAGGAAGTCGTCCCTCCGGCGTTTCGCTTAAGTGGCGGTTGTCAAGAGGTCCCTCCGAATGCTACAATAACCACCCAACCGCGTTTGTGTATACCAGAGGTTTGCAAATAAATACCTTCAGAGCTTCCACGCGACTTCAACGCATCATTCCTATGCGCGTATGCACGCGCCAATGGCCGCATTCCTCCTTAAACAGCGGCATCTCTTTGTACAATGTAAAGGGAAGTTGCCAGTCTCGAAATACTTCGTTTATAGCAAGATATATATTCTAACGTAATTCAATAAATTCTTTTCAATGACACACTTAAACTTAAATAAACTATATTTCCAGTTATACTTTTTTTTTATAATACTTTTTTTGTAATGAGTATTTCTATTTATTTTTCTAAATATAATGTCATTTTCACTGTAATTAACACAAATGTAATCTACAAAAATAAATATTTGAAAATTAACTAAGTATTTAGTAAATTAAAAGTGATAATGCATTTCATTTGCCAGTGAATATTAGATTTAATACGAGAATGAAACACACGCAACTAGATCATGCTAATTGCAATTATCGTGACGTATTGCCGTTATTACAGTTAATATTCTGCAGCATGACAATATCATAATGCTAATTAAATTATTCGCGTTTGTCACTGTTGCGACAGAATTATGAAACAGAAAAATGGCAAAGGTGAGATACAGAGTGATATTGTTAGCTAGTGATCCGCAAGATAATGTGTCGCATGAAACGATTAACGTGCTGTATATTCTATCCGCTTATATACTACTGATCGATGGTATATCAATTATTGTAATTTTATCGTCATAAGTAG